AACACCAGCGCACATGTGAATGTGGACTAGGGGAACACGTTTTGCGGCGCGCTTCCCATGAAATTAATTTTCTGTTGTTCGTGCAAGATAATCTCGGATGGTGAAGACAAATCAAGGAAACAGTGAAAAAAGCTAGTTCAAACTGAGCCTAATGCTGATGGCTTTTGAACGGTTTGACCCAACATTCGTTTGGTAACTATTCAACGCCTACGTGAGGCGAAATGTGCGGCAACCTTAGTAAAAACATGACGTCACTGCTCTTGAGAATTTACGACTAAGGGTAACTAAAATTTGTAAGCTATTGCTTCAACTCTCTCACCAATTTAGACTAAGGACTCAAGAGGTTTGCACTAAACAATATCGTGGTCTACGAGCTGATCTCCTATTGGTGCACTAAATCTTCAAGGATCCTAACTGCCAATGCTAGTACTTATCGTAATTCAGCCGTGACACCTCAAGCGGAGGTTAGTGCTTGAAATTAACCACCCAGTATTACCGGTTGGGATGCCACCGGAACCCTTTTCCATTCACTTGTTCCAATCGGTTTGCTCCATTCCTACGCTAGCGGAAATAATACCTGACTCCATGATGCATTACACTACCTGCATTACAAGATATAACCTTAGTTAGTGGGACGTTGGCACATCGTATGTAAGCTGTATATGCACGTAACAATTGCATCATCTGTCATCATTCCTTTTCATGACACACTTCATTTGGAACTCTTTTTATCTACGGAAAAGGGTAAGCGTTGGATCTTTTGCCCGTGATAAATTCATTGCTACACTGTTTTTCGTTGTGGAGTTTTTTATTCGTTGCAAGTTGCACCGTGCCGTCGCATGTTTCCTGCTCTCGAAGTTTGCATGTTTTACTGATTGCACACATGTGTACCTACGCTCCATAGGGTCAGTCAAAGGAGTCCTATTTACAGGGATCGGCTTTCGGTACCTAAGCCAGGCAAGTCATCCTCTCCCTTCACAACACAACTTTTGCTCCTATCTCGCGGAAACACATACGCACAACTTTCAACCCCCAAGCGGTACCAGAAAATCTGTGATCTCAAACAAAAGTCATATTTGATACCAGACTAAAGGGGCCACAACCATAGTTTTCGGTAGTCAAGTAAAGGAGCTACCGGACACTTGGCACTGTTTTCCTTCGGCCGCTTTGTTCACCTCAAAGTGGCCTTTGGGCATTGTATACAGTCACTTCGCAGTGCCACAAGGTCCGGTGACTCATTGAGTTGTGCAATAAAATGTGTCGACATCAGAACTGACCGGATTGTCGTGCAGACGGTGAGACGGACAGCCATACGCCCTAACCGTGAGGCCTTTGCTGCTGACCTAATACACTCAGGTACAAGTATAGTCAATAAAGGTAAATTTAGTTAGTTTTGAAGTTGGGTCCAATTATTTATTGGCAACGTCGCCGCCATGTTTTACTTTTCAGTTTATTGATTTCCAGTGAACGTTTTGTTTAACCAGATCGGAAACCATGCGCAATTTCCGTTACACTTGAATACTTGGGGTGGTAAGACAAGTTACGAATGAATGAGTAACTGTACGGAAAAGGTGTATCCATTGCCACGCTTGGTTGTGTAAATTTGTTGACAAAGGGAATGGGAACGCAAAGAAGACCTTTGTTGAAAAAGGGGAAAAGTATACTATCTGTCTATTGAAGGTCGCGAGACTTTGACAGGTCAGCGCATCGAGTGACCAACAACATATTACTTCATGCAACAAAAGACAAGGTCAACAACCTCAGTGCAATGGAGAACGCCGTTTTGTCAATTTTTCTACACAATATCCACAGATAAAGACCAACACTAGGATAAATGTCCCGAAAGAAGGGAGTGGTGGTGTTTCTTCTGAAGTGCGGAAGCAAAAGACCTGACGCCACAACCTCACTCAAAATCCCTACCAACGTGACATTGCCCAGGCTCACGCCCATCTACAAGTGACTTGAAGACTGCCAGGTACTAAATGGATGCATGTTTTTAAAACACAGAACTCAAATGAGTGCTTTCACTACACGTTGTGCAGAGTTCGTCCAAAAGGAAGATAGTTGTTTACCAAACTGCTGATGATGCAGTGGCCGTATGGACCCATCGTTTCAACAATGGATCCACAGCACCCCTAAATGTTCTGATGGAATCAGCTAGTTAAAATATTTAGTTCCTATCAAAAATTTGAAAGTGCGGAGAGGGACGAAAGCTGCTAAATGCATGTATTTCCTATCGTCTCCTTAGTACCATTAACAATAAGTGATATGCATAAAGATAGCTAACAGTGGTTGCGACCAGACTAGCTTGAGTTGGGGGTGGATAGTGAACTTAACATCACAAGACCAAGGAACTCTTAAGTTGGCAAGTAATTGTTTCTGAACGCAAAGGGCTGGCTTCATCTGGCATATAGTGATAGCCTCAGCAATCCGAAGGCAGCGGGGATTATCGTGACGTAACACAACCTTGTACGCTGAGTCTAGTTTTATCCGGTGACCCGAGACCACTGGGTGTTTGTCAATCGAGGAAGCTGGTGGTCTATGCGAGCACAGAAGTCGATGGGGCAGGGATTCTGGGCAATTTCCTGCTGAACATAACTCGGCACATGATCCATTACTTAGGATTCTTAGCAGTTATGCCTATGGATTTTCTCCGAGCGTTGAGCTGCCGGTGTCACAACTGAATCGTTAAGTGTAGCTTTGTGAATGGGGTTTTCCCCATTCAAATAGAACGTGATTTGGCCGCTTAGGGGGTTAGTATGTGTCAAAGTGACACAGATGCCGTGGGGGGTTGCAATACCGACGTTACACTTTGATGGAGTTCAGACGGGGTTGCTGAAGTTTCGGATCGCTGTTGTTCTATTCCAGTGGCGAAGCACTAAAAGTTGCGATCTGATTATTTGTTTCAGGCAATGAATAAGGATTTGTCACGGGTAAGAGATGTGGTGCTTAGCAAGTCCCGTAGGAAAATTAGGGCTAAAAATAAAATCAAAGGATGTGCGTCATCAGTTTAAGCACCCATTGTCTTAAATGCGCTACTTCTAGACAACAGTGTGAATTGATTGTACGCATACTAAGCGTATAGTATGTGTCTGCTTCCACTCTCAGCTCAAGCTTGATTCCACCTGAAGGGTCAGATTCCGGACGAACCCAGTCATGAAGTGCGGTGTTGGGAGAGATCAGCTCCAAAACTCTTCACATCGGATGCGGTTACATTGTTTTAAAATGGCAGGGATTTGCCACAACCTAAGCCGTAGTCCCAAAAGAGATTGTGTGCCTATCGTTCGATTACTCGAGTACCGGTTTCCAGTATCCGCGTGATGTATTTATAAAACCAGTATGTTTAATGGTATCCAGTTCTTGAACTGCATGTCACTGTGTACTACATGAGGGACGGTCAAAGGACGCCTGAACCTACTCAAGGACAATGGGTGGCTTCCAATGAAACACCCACGACTCCATCCACACCCAGCATATTCAACGGAAACCCAAAGGATTATGATCGGGAGGCATATGGACGGTGGCCATGTTTCATCAACGGAGCTGGATCACCGTCCTTCAACATACACAGCAGCAGCACGCCTGTCTATCAAAGTTGGGAATCAAGCGTACCAGACGTGCAAAAGGCAGTGGTCGGGCAGTAGCGCATTCCACACTAGATACTTGGAACCACCTTTTGAGCCTAACATTGCCACGAGAACTGTGCACCCAGTCTCCTTAGACAAAAACCTACCGTCTTCTGGAACCTGTATAATCGAGGTAACGGTATTTCGACATTTAGGCATTTTGTCAACATTCCCTTCAAGCACAACACACCAGATATATCAGACAATCAAAACATAATTGTGAACAAATAGAAACAAATAGTGTTGGCACCGAGTACGCAGCCGAATAACATAACTGAACAAATCAAATAAATTGGAATATATTTTGTCCACGTCAAGAAGATCAGGTAAGTTGGTGTATCGCAGTATAAACACATCATAAATAAATTCTACAGTAGCAGTTTACGAAACTAAGTGATGAGGGCAAGTGCAGCATCCGGTCGCTTGTAAAGAAATCCAAATTAGTAAAGGCTAAGAATGGGTTTAAGAGGAGTTTCCATGGCTGACAAAACCTAGGAGCAAAGTAGTTCCAACGGCTTTCGAGACAGCCGTATCAGCCATTCAGTTGCAGACGATTACCTCTGAGCTTCGTGTTGTGGTCTAGCTACAGTCGATATTAGAAGACGTTATTGGCAACTCAGTACATGGTGCAGTAGTACGAGTTCGCTGCACAGACATTGGTCGCGTACACTGAAAATCCCCAGTACCTCCATCCTCTTCAGGTAAGAGGAACAAGCGTAGTCCTAAATTGGTTGACATGCTCAGACTTTGAAGGCCGCTTCTGACATTCATACATATGGCTCCTAACATTACTTACTAACGTGTTCATTCCTCCTGAAGTGTCTTTGAATCACATATGAAATGGAGAAAAGAGTGTTTCACTAACTCCCGAGATAAACAGTGGAAACATTTACTGAATTGAATCAGGTAACCCCACGTAGGGCCTTTTAGACTCGACGGATCAATAACTCTCCGGCTATTTAAATTACTCAAAATGTGTATTCGTGCGACTTACTATAAAATTTTTAACCACATGCTAGACGTTGATATCGGTCGCTGCAAGTGTTCTAAGTTTAAGGTGGTTCCGTGTCGTCAGAAGGGATTGTAACATGTATGTTTTAATGCAGTCCAAATCCATGCTGACTTTGCTATCCAATGTCGGGGCAACGGAGCTACCTTTAATCGCGTCATACTCGACGTGAAGCGACGGGGTTAGCTTGAATGCCAAAATGACCGCACCGCCGCAAGCTTTTAAACCGGTATCCCTGGTGGTTTACGCGAAATGCCGTCAATACAACAAACATGGAATGGTGTTTCTCGCTTGGTGTCTATCTCTTTTTTAAACACGCTCAGTGTTCATGCTTGTTAGCGAGGCAGAAATACTTTCTTCTGTGACTCAAAACGTACTTTACTATACTTCCAATCCTGTGAATCGATTCTAAGTAAGCTTTTCTTGCGTAGAAATTGAAATAATATTTTCTGGAGTAGTAGCCCTTCCAAGTGCTCTGGATCTGTTAAATTCAAAGATCAGACAGATATTGTGGATGAGCAGAACCTTTGTTGCGCAATTGTGATATCCGTTGGCATGCATTTTGTGTACTGCCTCTGACAGTACGAAGCGATACTGTTTTCTACCCAAATAACCGCGCCAATTTTTTTGTATAATGACACAGCAGCTGCTCAGAAACCTAAAAAATATTTATGTGTGCATAGACGTGATACTTGAGATAGCAGCGCAGACGAATACCGCGGAACCAAGCCTGTATTTTAATGGCAGCCTGGAATTCAAAGACGCGGACAGCGTTTGCTCTTCTGCCGCACAATTATCACAGGTGAATGTAGCTTCACTTACTTGTATTCTTCACTCAGCTCCTTGGAAAACTTGTCAAAGACATCGAGCAGCAACGCTCTGTTAGTCATTGTGAATCTTCAAATAGTCGAAATTCGAGAATTGATTAATCCATCTTGTAACTGTACTTAAAACTGAGGAAGAGGACGCGCACACGATTGTGTTTATCAATAAAGAGTGATTTCACACGGGCACAAATGCATGCGCTTTGCCTCTCCTGTTAGTTGTTCTGGCAGGAGTTTTCACAAAAGTTACAGTGGAAAACTATGTATATCTTTCTGGCAAAATCCAGGTAAAAACGTGTTTGAAAAGCGGTTGTTCTGCTCCTCAAAGTGATTCTATAACACAAGTTTGTGATCACTAATAAGTTAAAGGATTTCACCACTCAAGTAGAACGGAATGATAATACCAATTAGTAACATGTGGGCTACTGAATACGTCATCAAACCGTCAAACAATCTTTAGCATTGGTACACAGACGGCCAACTCGTTGAGCGCTTTGCAGGAATGCGTACACGAAAGGAAAGAAATTTTCTATGTTACCCTAAACGGCTGTAACGTTCCATCAGTTGCAACGTGTGTTCTCGAGTCAGTTTGATTACTGTATTCCAGCAAAGAGCCGCACACATGGTTTGGGTTGTTCAAAACACGTAAGACTTTAATAAATCGCTTTTTGATCGAAAACACCGCCCGTTTAATAATCTTTATCATTTCAGCTGCCACTATTGTGAGGTAACTTATTCCGAGGGCGTACTTAGAAGCCAAATCTAAGGTTACGTTAGGGCTAGGAGATAGTGTTTGGGTCATACCCTCCAAACGTGAAATACGTATGCTACATGAGGACCAACATCAGCTCTGAACGTTTGAGAGATAACAGATAAGTCTGTGTACATGAACGCTCTTTTTAATGGTCCAAGATTTGTGTGCCAGCCTTTGATTCATATTCGAATTACTCGAAAAACAAAGCGAAATTAGCCCACATACCTGCATCCCACTTCTCAGAAGACCGCTACAAAACATATGGACCTAGTCCGTAAGGATAGGTACTCTGATGTCATATGAAGAACACATTGCGCTTCCCCATGCTAGATTGCAGCGGAGTTTGGATTGTCCACTTGCGCATGGCATCCTGGTCACAGTAGAGCGTTCAGTGATGGATATTTATTTGAAGCATTCAATGCATAATAATGTCGTCGGAAAGGAGCTGGACATATGTGAGCAACTCAAAGCAGAACATGGGGAACCATTGTGGTCACTAAGCAAGAAACACATCTGAGGTGCGACAGTTTTTGCGGAAACTCGCAGTTCGTGATGTAAACATATACATAAATAAGATATTTATTCCAGACTACGCGAGGCACGCCTGCACAGGCATGATCATAACATGAGGACAAAATGTGATCAGTTAATGTACCAGAGAACAAAAGGGTTGTCGCAAATTTTGATACATGAATGTATGTGTGAACGTAGGCGTGTTTAGCCTTGATTACGGGATTTGTAACTGTTTTCCCGCACTTTGCTCGTGTCGCCAGTGCTAAAGAGATACATGTTGTTTGTGTACATGTAGTGGTTGTCCGGATAAGCAAGGAGGTGACTTTAGTTGGTGGCGAGTCACAACTGCCACGTCATAGTGTTGTTAAATAGATATTGCTGGTTTTTCATAAGGAGAACGCTTGCGAGGCGAAAATCCACCAAGTCCTGGAACATTGCCACTGAACTATTTGCTGGAACGGGGTAAAGCCGAACCACCCAGCTGGCACCATGTGGAGGTTGTTCGGCTAGACTACGTTTATGCGTCGTAGCTAGGTGTAGTCACTGAGCGGTGTCCTTGACACTTATT